CTCTCTCTCTCTCTCTCTCTCTCTCTCTCTCTCTCTCTCTCCAGCTCTTCTTGTTCATTATCTCCACCCTCCTACACTCTCTATATCTTCCTCCCTTTCTTCCATCCATTCTTTTGAAGGTAGAGTAAATGCTTTTATTGATTCCCTCCACTCTTTTCTCCTCTTTTTTTTGCACTCTACACGTACACACTTTAGGCACACGCTTTGTTCGGCGGATGAGTGGAACAGCTACGAATATGCGAATGACAAGTGGCAATCGATTGGAACTCATCGTCTCCTCGGCGCGGCGGCGCCCAGCTCGTCGATGCTTCCAAAGACGCTTCGTGTCGATAGAAAAATACTCCCGACGTGTATTTGCTCCGCCGTAATGGCTTTATCATCGTAGACGTAATGGTATTCTCAAGCAATGGCAAGTGAGAGACAATCCCGCATAATCTCACGTGACGTATTTGATTTCGCTTAACGACTCGACCAAACTATAAACAACGGTCTTTTTTATATGCGATAACAAATAATGAATAAAAAAAAAACACATTTTTAAGTTAGTCCATTCATATTCATTTATCAGTTTTCATTTGTAATATTCGTCATACAATTTACATGTTTTTTTCTTTCGCATTCGTGTATCCGCGCGTAAAAGTGGTTTCGTTTCGTTGGCGAAAGATTGATAAATAATTAATAAATTTCGCAAATAACTCCGTACATAACTTCGACTTTGTTCTTGAGAGACTTGTCGACGGAGCAAGGACGGAAGGAAAGAGCAATCTGCTGCGCGGCGAGCGAGATGAACAATCCTGGCTGACGTCAAGGAAGCACGGGGAAAGTATGGTTTACTTCAAAAACTTTTTACCGATAGCATAGCCAGCGGGCACTTTAAATAATCCTTCTGCACGCGGATATTAAATTTCTTACCGTGGCTCGCGGTTGAGCGTGGCCGGGTACCGTGGTAGTCCGTTTAAACGGTACACTTTGTCCACAAGACCGGATTGCTGTGGTATTACATTATATACATACGTACACATATATATGTATGTATGTATCCTGTGGTTCTGTGGCCATTTAAACTCTAATTGCGAGTAAGAAACCCTTGAGGCTAATTGAGATGACTTTTTTACGCAAGCGTTATTTTACGCTCTGAAAGAGCAATGGCTGTCGATATCG